AAAAAAAAAAAAGGTGCTTCCTTATTTTTTTGTTGGGCCTTTGGGAGTATACATGAATTTGGGCCATGTAGAGCCAAGTTGGGACATGTATTGCCCGGTTCAACTAATTCACACTGGGCTCGAGATTGGACTGGAAAAAATCCACAGCTTTGGCCCATAACGGCCCGGAACTTGTGATTATCGATTAGCAACCCTTGGATGTAAGAAAACGCATCCAAACTGTTCATATCTGTCGGTTTGTTTTACAAAGTCGACAAGAGAGAGAAAGAGGGAGAGAGTGAGACTCTGCTGGAGGGAGTTAGGGTTAAATCGGATCAGAATTTGGGGATTTCATTACTGAGGTACACTTTCGATATCGAAATTGAGTTTATTGCATAACACACTCTCTCTCTCTCTCAAACACACACAACACACATCTGTTCGATGTAAGGTGTTTGTTAACATATGCAAATTATGTGAAAGGATTGACTTTTTGTAGTTTTGTGTCTGTTTTGTACTGTGTTTTTTGTGGTTAATGAGAACGAGTTTTTGGTGACCAAAACGGTGCATTTTGTATTCGGGAATGGGATATGTTTACCAAGGGACCGTAATCATTCGGGTTGCTAGCTTCTCATGAGTGGTAGAGTGATTAAGTTTATAGCATTTGAATTATATGAGAGATGAATTTCTGTGTGGCACTGAGCCTCTGTAATTGCGAGTTTGAATTTCTGTTAGTTGGGATATGGGAGTCATCTAAGGGACTTTTTAGGAGCTAATATAATATAAATCATTGAAGCTAAAAGATCAGGGCAGCGGAGAGGACATTAGAAAATGGCTTATATTAGTTGTCAGTTTTTCAAGTGCTTTGAAAGGTTAAATTTTTACTGTCATGAACAAGAGAATAGAGTGCCTGAAGTTGCTTTGGGAGTGCCAACAAAATCACAACAGAATTCTGGGTTGATGGTAAAGTTTAATTGGTTTGTATGAAGCATACTATTCATCTTTTTTTGAGATGCTGTGGTATCTCCACCGGTTGATTTTCAACTTAATAGAACTAGATCTTGCTGAGATACTTGCAGTTTCCGTAGACACACTAGATATGGGGTTTACATTGGAGGGCTTCTGTGGGACAATTCAGAAATACAAGAAAAAATATGATTGGTTACTTATTATCATTCATCTAGCAGACATAAAATGCATACTGGAACCAGTTAACTTTGGCTGCAGGACAGGTACAACCGTACATGTCTTTTAGAGGCTACAGATGGCAGAAAGCAAGTCCTGCTTGAGTTTTTTGTTAGGGGATAGTCAGTTATCTTGGTATGGATACTTGTATGTGTAAACCTCTGGGAGAAGCTTTTCATGATAATTCCCGGTGCTTGATAAAATTTCCAGCGGTTGAAATGTAGTATTTTTGGGCAAATATGCCTGTGGGTTGATAAGGTAGACGGGTGGGTTTTATGGGAGATGGACAAGAGAGGCAATTACAAGAAAGTTGATTTTGCTATTTTCTAATCCTGTCTATTCTATGGATGTTTGACCATTCAACAAAATTAATATCGTCTTTTATAATTAATAGATATTAAATTAAAGATTTACTAGCGATACTTTTTCTGAAATTAATCAGCCTTAGGATGTGATTATATTTCAATTGCATTTCTAATAGACAATAATAAAGCAAAGTAGTCATATTGGTTAATCAACAATTTTTTTCAACAATCAATTTATTTCATTGAAAAATGATCTTTCTGCTAACAGAATGCTTAATCACTGCAGTTTGAAAATGCCTCGTTATGATGATCGATATGGTAGTACTCGTCTTTATGTTGGTCACTTGTCGTCAAGGACTCGCTCGCGTGACCTGGAGCATGTCTTCAGAAGATATGGGAGGTAATCAAATGTCTGGCTTCTCAACAATCACCTTCTTGTGTTATTTGAAATTCTGCTCATGCTATTCCTTGTGAATTGTGGCACACATTTTACTGAAGACAAACCAATTGTGCAAAGCTCAACTGCAGTAATGTCTTAATTTTCTTCGTTATTCTACTAGATTCCATGTCGTAGTCAAAAATAAGAAAGAGAAGAGGGTAAACAAAAAGCATCTTTTGTGTCAGTCATATCACTTTGGTCAGGTAGAGGTCACTGTGTAGGAAGCTGCAATCTTTTGTTTCCTCTGAAGTTTTTCTGATAATGAATTGGAAATCAACTTGTTGATAAAGAAAAAACAGTGTCTTTGATGCACTCCACAAATATGTATTTGATGATCAAACTCAGTTATTCAAATCATTGGTACAATAAGTTAAGAGTGCATATATTTCATCTTTAATGGTAGGTTCGGTGTAAGCTGCATAGTGATGTAGACTACATGGTTTTACTCATCTTTGTGGTGCTGTTTTTAAACAGCTTTTGGCTATCCCATTTAAAATCTATCAGACAAGTTGCCACTCAATCTGTGATGTGGGGTACGTCTCCCACTCATGTAGGAGACACTTGGTTTGTATGCCAAGCATGGTTCTGTGCTTGGGTCTACATTATTCATNGTGGGGTACGTCTCCCACTCATGTAGGAGACACTTGGTTTGTATGCCAAGCATGGTTCTGTGCTTGGGTCTACATTATTCATCATATTTTCTGTGAAGGAACATTGTACCCCCAGGTGTCTGTGTGTTTAACTTGAATGATCTTGTTGAAGGTTTCTGGCTTTTGCCTAACCTGGAGGTCAATGGTGAGAGGGTGCCCTTGGTGGAAATTCTTGCCGAGTTTTAGGAGACTTTGGTGATTCTTTCTGAAATATTTATGCGTTTTTATGGAATTGGCCCCAATCTCACACTGGTGTTTAGTTCGTCTTGTGCGGCGGTGTGTCGTGCACTTCCTGTACTTAAGTATGATGGCCTTACTGTTTCTGCAACCTTCCGCAGAGTAAGAGATGTGGATATGAAGCGCGACTATGCCTTTGTTGTATGTATCGCCCCTTCCTTTTCCTTTTTCCTCACTTATGAATGCACTTGATTAGTTTCTTAAACTGTTTAGATAACTGGGTTGCTGATCATGTTACGCAATTGTTGGGTTCCGTTTGTTGGTTTTTGCGTTTTGACTTCAATTTGCAGGAATTTAGTGATCCCCGGGATGCTGATGATGCAAGATATAGCTTAGATGGTCGGGAATTTGATGGAAGCCGTATTATTGTGGAATTTGCTAAGGGAGTAAATACTGTAAACTTGCTTTTTGCTTTTTGCTTTTTGCGTTTTTTCTTTTTTGTTTTTTTTGAATGTTGAGTTGCCCTGGGTGGTGGATGGGACATTTTGGGTTTTTGGGATTTGTTGGGCAGTTGTGTCAGGGTTCTTGGGTTGATCTCGTAGTTTCCTACAGGGTGGACATGACGGGGTCGGTTCATGTATTTTCCTTCCTTTTGCCTCATTTTTCTGGAAATGGGTTTCCTTGTGGTTCATTATCCAATTGTTTTCCTCTCCAATGACATTCTTTTGTGATTGGGATATTCATCATTGTTGATTATTTTTTTTGTCATATTAAATTTTTTTAGAATTTGTCGGCTTCTTGGAGGCTGGTGATTAGAGTGGATGGTTGAACTCAAAAATCAGGGCTGGATCTTTATGTTTGGTTGAACCATCTCCCTTTAAAATTGGAGGGGAGGCGGGTTTTCCCCTCTAAGGTCCAGCAGTTTTTTATTTTTGTAGTCATCAGATGTGGTTCTCTGCCATTATTATCTTGTTGGACTCTAGAGTGTCGTTTCAAATTTATATTCATTTATCTAATTAGCTCTTATTATTGTTATGCTTGACATGTGTTTGACTTGCATGTAGGTGCCACGTGGATCAGGTGGTTCTAGAGAATATCTAGGCAAGGGTCCTCCACCTGGGTCCGGACGGTGCTTCAACTGCGGCATTGATGGTCACTGGGCACGAGATTGCAAAGCTGGGGACTGGAAGAACAAGTGTTATCGTTGTGGAGAAAGAGGACATGTAGAGAGAAACTGCCAGAACAGTCCCAAGAAGCAGCTCAGGTACTTCAGAGGACTATACTGTTCTGTTTGTCTCAACCTCCTCGTACGTTTTGGTGACGCACTGTTGAGTACCATGCCATCTCTTTGAAATTGTTTTTTAATGATAATTATCCTGCAGACGTAGTCGGAGTTACTCACAGTCACCACCAGTGAGATCACATTATCCTCGCAGTGGAAGAAGCCGGAGTCGTAGCTACAGGTTAGTTACTTACTCTTTGTTACATTATTTTACAGATTGATTCTTGATTTACCCTGGCGTCTGTATGCTTGCTTTTCCTGGGGGCCATCAAATTTGCTTTCTGAAAATGATGCACTTAAATCTTTGTTTTCTCCATCTGGTAAAAGGGTGTCACCAAGTGTTCATGGGAAAACTTTTATTCTTACTGACATTGGCTGACAGTTGTTTTTTCTCCATAAAGAGATAGAAAAAAGGAAGAAAGGAGAAAGGGAAAAAGAAGGGGGGAGGCGGATGTGTGCCTAGTTTTTCTACATTACATAGAAACAAGTCATTCTAGCGTACTTGTGCATACAGACATGCATGTTCGTATTCCACTTTTATTTTGCAGAAGGCATAACCTGATTTTTTCCTTCTAATTTATTAACTGGATTAATTATTGTATTGCCAGTCGGTCGAGATCCCCTCCAAGGAGAGAGAGGATTGTTGAGCGTAAAGAGAGGAGATCAAGGAGCCCTCGTTACAGTAGAAGCCCGGAGCAGGGGAAGGGTTCTCCATCCCCCTCCCAGTCAAGGAAGCGCAGCCCAACACCTGATGAGGGCAGCCCAAGGGGGAGAGATAGCCCTTCTCTTGAGAGAGAAAGACAAGAAACTGAGCGAGACGGTTCAGTCCATAGTCAGAGCCCTATGGTGAGGGGCAGGAGTCTGGTGAGCCCCGAAAGAAAGAGCCCTTATGAGGTTAATGGTCATAGCCGCAGCCCAAGTCCTGCAGATGACAGGAGCCCTGTTGATGATGATGATGATGATGATAATGGCTTCTCCCCAAGAGGCAGTGCATCACCTTAAATTGTCCAGAAATGGTAGAGGTCTCTGCTCGTTTATGGCATGTGCAATAAAACTATATGTATATCATATTCGTTTGTTAATGGAGCGTGGCAAGACATTGCTTAACTATGAGAAGATGCTGTTGATTTAAGTAGAGTGGCCATAAGTTCAAACTTCAGCAGAGTTATTGTCCTCTTTATACTACTATGTCTTTGTTCAATTGAGATGGTGCTAAAACTGGGAAAGTGCAGCGTAATTTGCGCCTAAAAAAGCTTTTTTCGNCTCTTTATACTACTATGTCTTTGTTCAATTGAGATGGTGCTAAAACTGGGAAAGTGCAGCGTAATTTGCGCCTAAAAAAGCTTTTTTCGTACATGGCAGTTTACTTTTTACAATCTTCGCAAGCTCAACTAGGTCTGAGCTTGTGTACTCTTATTCTNGTGCAGCGTAATTTGCGCCTAAAAAAGCTTTTTTCGTACATGGCAGTTTACTTTTTACAATCTTCGCAAGCTCAACTAGGTCTGAGCTTGTGTACTCTTATTCTAATCGCCATACGTTGAACTTCAGAAAATTGGCCTGTTACTTGATGCAAATATGGTTCAACATAGGGGGACTACCAATGAAGGGTATGAAGGTTAAGAAAATGTTTGTTTTTCGTAGTGTAGCGGAAAGTTATGATTCAATAAAGTCAAGTCATACTGCAATGGGATTTTGAAGTTTGTAATTAACGAAAATTCAAAACCTTGAAATCAATCCTAACTATTTAGGATCAATCTAAATTTCTTTTGATCAATCTTATTTCAATCTCCTTTTGTTTACTTTAGTTTCTTTAGTCATAATTTAATTTGCTAAGTTGTTACTGCATAGAGAAATTCACCGAGGGGTAATTCTCAACCAACCCATTAAGTGACCAGATGAAGAGGGGAATGGTTTGTGTTTTTTTTTTAAATGAACACAAAAAAAAAGCCCTTAGTAGTCGCAAGTGGCCAAAAAATTCAGGTTGATTGATAAGCTGTCATCCATTTATCTTTTTGAAGTTTGTACTTGGACTTGGAAAAATGGAAATAATTTTTTTTTTCTTAGCTGGGAAAAAAAAGGGTGGAGTGACAAAAAAAAAAAAAACGATAGACTCTCACTTGTGGGATCATGAAGTCTCTGATCGCGTCTATTACTCCTCTCAGAATAAACATAGTTAGGCTAGTATAACGGTCAACCACCAAATCCCAATGTGAACTCGAATATATCGAACTTTTCAACTTCAAGGTGAAAAGTTTGACCGATATTCTATTATGCTCCGTTTGGTAGAAATGATGGAAAGTAGGAGGGATACATTTTCTATTCTTCAAAGATGGAAAGTAAGAAAGATACACTTTCCTTCCTTTGTTTTTGGTTGGATGGATGGAAAATAAAAATGATTAGTTTTTTTTTGTGCCGGCTAAGATGAGGGGTGTCTATTGAATCGTGTCGTGTCAGATTCGTGTTGAGTCATTACGGGTTTGTGTCAAATATTAGTCAAACCTAACTTAACTCATTTAATTAATTGTGTTGTGTCAAGTTGTAAGTCAACCTGTTTATTTTCGTATCGAGTTCAAGTTGTGTCATTGTGTTGAGTCAAAAATTTTCAACCTTAGTTAAGATGGAAAAAATATATATTTTTTTAATTTAAAATTTTTATTTTTATTATTTTATTTTTAAAATTTTTTAATATATGTGTGTGTGTGTATATATATATATATATACATATTTTACTACTGTACTTTTATATGAAATTAATGTATACATAATATATGTATATATAAAAAGATATATAGACAAACAAGATACATCTCAATACAAATAATTAACTTTCCATCCACTTTCCTTTCGATTTTGGAGAGTTGAAAAAAAAAATTAATTTATTCACTTTTTCATCTTTCTTACTTTCTTGTTTATCATGATGTTTTATTTATCCCTCAAACTTTCCATCCTCCCACTTTTTCATTGTACCAAACGGAATATTAGACTATCTCACTCAGTGGTGGAAGATGGGAATAGTTAAGAGTAATGCGAGACTGACCAAATTTAGAGTCCAAATGACATGACTGCTGAAGTCATCTTTATTTAGTGTTATGTCATTTGAACCCCAATAAAAACTCCAAAATAACATATTGTCATGTCATTTGCACTCTAAATTTAATCCTAAAATTTAGTCAGCGTAACATTACTAAATAGTGGTATATCGATATAGCAATTTTACCAGCAATACCATCACGTTTCCAGCCTCTTCAAATACATAGGATACGCATAGGCCATACATAAAAATGTGGGAATCGCATAAGATATTCTGGCAAGCTATTTCACCACCTTATCGTGCCAAGATACCTATTCTTTTTCCACCTTTTCCTTCTGCTCTAATGGGACTTTTTCTACTTTTAATCTTTCAAGAAAAAAAGGATTCTATTCCAGAAGGATATGGCAGTGCAAAATATCCACTCCTTTTTCTCTGATAAAATTGACTTGAAAAGCTTCTAACAGCCAAGCATTCTGATGCAAGATGTAATATAGTGTGCAAAGAGTCCATATGAAAGAGTCTGAGGAAAGGGTTATAGCTTGAAGTTTGTAAACTCTAATGCCCGACTCGACTTTGAAATTTAGTGAACCCGATTTCGCGGAGTATGCATCATATTATCTCGCCTGGTATGATAGCAGTTACGGTGGTGGCAGCCCCTACGGAGAGCCACTTCCATCTCCTCCAGAGGGATTGGCTGACATGGACCGAGAAGTTGATTTTACAGGCAGGCTTTGGAACGATAATCGACTCACTGAGCAGGCTTATGAAGAAATAGAGCAGCCTTACAACATCAGTGATAATTGGCTAGAGTCCTACTTTGATGGCGGTTGGGGAGAGGATATGTTCTCTTGTGGGTATGGTGCTTTCGACAATGAACATGGTCCTTATGGGAGTGCCTTAGAGAATGCAGAGGATCCCTACCAAGGTGAAGAACAGTTTGATGGTTACTACAGTTACGACGATGACACGGAAATGCAGACTTCCTATGATTATAATCCTTGGTTTGGCTATTGTTTGGAGTTCGGATATGGAGTCGACGAAGATTATTGTGGAAATGATGTGAAAGAGCTTGAAGTTGCACAAAATTTCGGCTTCGATGAAATGAGACTTTGTGAGAGGATCTTTGGTCACTGGCCTAGTCTGTCAAGCCGAGACCTGGAAAGCTATGCTTAACAAAGAACCTTCTCGAGGTTTTTGTATTATTTTGAGTTTTGGTCTCTCTTCATTTTGTGTAGCCCTTGGTGTCTTTGTTCATGTTTTAAATCTGGCAAACTGTTTTCAACATGCAGTAACCTACCAAACAGTTGCATAACTGTGCTTTTATGTATTTCAATAAATGAAAGGCTACTGGCATTTCGGCTGCTTTTGCCTCCATGACCCTCACGGTTGATTCAGCAATCAACCAAGAAACAAGTCATAAATCCCCACATAAACTGGTTTCTAATCCTCCTGGCTGCATAAAACACACGGTTTCATAGAAGATTGTATTTTGCACCCTCGAGTTCAAAGCATGCATGGTTGGGAGGCTTCCTGTTGCAAGTATATATGTGTGTGTGCGCGTGTATATATATTGTCGAAGCATGAAGCTATCAACAATAACACAAAAACTAATAGCACTTCAATTTTAAACATAGTGCCCATACATAATCACCATGCTCAATTGCACAGAACCATAGACGCTTTTCACCATGTATTACTTTTTTTCACTCAAAAAGAAATCCACAAGCAAATTGCTATACAACTGGTTTTGGGTTAAGATGTTTAAAGGAAAAAGAAAAGAGGCAAAACAAAACATGGAATCTGTCAAATTACATTGCTAAGAGGCCCAATACCTAATTCATCCTCCATGTCATCAACATCTTCAAAAAGTCTTAGAAATCGTGCCTGCTCTTGTTCCCTTTTCCTCCTCTGCCAATACTTGTATGCAGTCACCGCTCCAAGAACAAAGACAGTTGAAACTAAAGCACTGATCACTACCACAAGAGCCCAGTGCATTCCCCCTCCTCCATTATTTGGGCCAGACGTATGATCTGAAGTTACAAGCACATAGTGAACACGATCATTGCATAATTAACCAAAGGAAAAGCTAGTATTTGAATTTTACTAAATTTGCACATATATATGCGCTCAAACATATGGAATGCCGCATTGATTTTTCATGCAAAATGTTCTCCATGGCCTAAAGGGCAGGTTTGATTTCCAATGGAAATTCAAAGTTTTAGTGTTTTACAACCTGTTCCAAGCTAGAAGTCGCTAGAAATCCCCAATATGTTAGTAAAACCATTAGACAACTGCAATTTCGACGGAACCTAACATTGAACATCCGAAATCCCCAATATGTTAGTAAAACCATTAGACAACTGCAATTTCGACAGAACCTAACATTGATCTTACACATCTCAATCAGGGAAAGCCTCAAAAATTCAGTATAGGGACTTCATTCCCGACGGTAATTTATCACGACAAAAGCTACACAAAATGCAGCATGGGCATCCAAAGAAACACGCAGGCAAGTCAAATGGTGCAGTAATGTTGTGATTCTGCATTGCAGTTGCAGACCCATTCTATAACTGGCCCCATTAGGTATTCAATTACCAAAAGGATCAGGTATCAAAAGCCTACTATATGAAAGTAAATGTTCAGCCAACCGGGTCCTTTCTTTTATTTGCAGAAGACTACAAATTTGGCATCCTGGCAACATGTATTCAACCATCATTTTTGCAAATTATTTGATGCTCATATGTCAGCTTTAATCATGACATTAAAGCACCAGGATGTACAGTGTTCCATTTGTTACTTCATAATGGATGAGCATATGAAGTTGCCATGAGAAAGTGATAGTGAAATGTTTATACATGTATAATCATATGAGGGATGAGTTCATTTTCAATAATATGTCTATTTGTCCCTACATTAGCACATCAACTTGGCAACGCTGCCAGTGAATGTCCACTATAGAGCAACTGCACGAAGAAGGGAAGAGGAACTAGCTACAAAGAAAACAACACTCACCACTTCCAAGAGGCACACACTCCGGACAAAAGAATGTAGCATTGAGTTCCTTATCCTTGAAATGGATATATTTTCCATCAGGGGTCGTAAAATCAGAAGCACAAAACTCCCACTCATCAAATACATCGTCTGATTTTATTCTGTCCTCCTCATAGAACCCACATCGCTTGCATTTCATATCTGGAAGTTTGGTTAGAGGCTGCAAACATAAATAGCAATTTTGTTCATCAATGACAAAAAAGGTAATCAGATTCTCTAACTGTGGCCCAGTTATTCAACCAAGACACACAGGTTAAGCCGTTTGCAATTAACTGTAACGCTTAGACCTATCCACCAGAAAGCCATTTCAGAAAAAATTCAAATATACAGAAACACTTGCATCTTTCTTCAAAAGATATGTGTGAAAATCAAATAGGAACACTTCATCCTCATGACTATATGAGTAAATCCCACTTCCAAATTTAAACTGAAAACATAACATCTTTCTTTATTAAGAGCTTTAAAATACAGAACCGGGGAAGGATGACAAAGGAGGAATTAGAAATAAACAAAGAGAGAGAGACATGGACCTCTTGTTTAGCAGGAAGAGTTATTATAGTGCTAAGTTACGATGACAATATTAACATTCATCTAAACATCAAAAACCAGCTGCATTAACTGAAAGGAGAAACCAGAATGTATCTTAGTTACGAGGCACAGGGATGAGGGTGGGGCCACTGTTTGAAATTGTGGCATCTGACTTGCATGATATAAACAAGAAAGATGTTGCATACCCAGTGTCCTAGTTTATACAATGAATATAGAAATCAGTATATGTGAAGCACTGAACTCCTTTTCCATAACTTTTACAATCAAAGAAAAACTAAATGAAACACCAGCTTCAATATGAAGTTATGATAACACTCCCACCACTAACCTGCCAAGACTCTTCACCCTTGAAAGCATATAAGGCATGTTTTTTCTTCACATCTGGCAGAACTGTCTTGTTCTCCCCTTTACAGTGAAAGTAAACTGTTGGTTCGGATGATAGCAACTCATGGGTCTTAAAAATTTCAATAGAATCAAGTGTAACAGTTGCAGCTGATATGAATCCTGCAAAACAGCATTACATCAACCTAACTTCAGGTGCAAGAACTGACGCCTCAATTAGACAACTCATGGGTACTACAAAGAACTAGTGGAAATACACATCAAATTACTCATCAGAACAAACATGAATGAGGGAGCAAACAATACTGCACACAATAGACAAAATTTTTCATATCAATAACACAGCAAATGTTGTTCAATCTACTTCATCTTCAAAACAGAATTAAAAATAAAGAGATGCTGAAATTTCGATCAAGAGGCTGTATAATGACTAGGAAGCTAACCAAATTTCTCTTAGCAAATGTACAAGAAACATGTAGTACCTATAGCCGCCAACCACACAAAACCACCAACAAAAAAGATAAATATTGATGCTAACTTGGATAACATCAGCAGATAAAGACATTCTTTTCATGTTTTATAGTAAAACAATATTCAACGCATACATTTGGGATTTGCACCAATTCCAACCATTCTTGAAATCAGCAAAACTGATGCATATCTGGTGCCCGTGGTCAATGCAATAACTACCAGTTGCAACAGGTACTGTTGTCTTCTTTATGTATGGATTTATATGCTTCAAATTGGCGGCCTCCCCCCTCTTCCCTCTTATTCTCTTCTTTTATAAAGATAAAAACAAGCAGATTATTACAAAGCAAACCTCAAAACCAAAGCTTCAAGCTGACATTATCCTCTCCCACCTGATTTAATAACTTCACTTGATAAATAAACAAGCGTACTTGTAACTCTTGCAGCAATCCCAAGAACCCCTTCCATTTAGCAATCGGGAGTTCATTTTTTAAACCATTGCAACTGTCTTAATTATATGTTTATTGCAAATTGTGATATAAACCTATACAAGGTGTGGTTTAAATTACAATTGAAACTTATGTGGAATATTTGTTTTGGCTTGTCTACAAATAGTCCTTTATTCTAAATCTAACAGATCTTGTATACAGTTTTCACTTCTTCTTTTTTTAGTACGTGTGTGTGTGTTTTCTTTTGGGGAGGGGGTGGGGAGGGGGTAGTTTTGCATCTTCTTTCAGTGACAAATGTATCTTGGCCATCACGAGTCGAAGACCATATACCAAGAGATAACACCAAAATATTTTCACAAAAGATTAATTTTATGATCAATACCAATACCATAAACCATGATCAATATCTCTACCTCAAATAAAATTCTACAGGAAATTACACAGCAGAACCCTATTCTCTCTTAACGCCAGATAGTTGTCATAAGTCACATAATTATCGATGAAATATGAAGAAAATAATGCAGATTAATCATAATTTTGATGTCATTTACATTGAATAAATCCACAAGGGTTGTAGCACTGACTAAAAAGCTCGAGTTTTAGAGGAGAATTACCTGGAAACCAGCCAAGAAACAACGAACACAACAGAAACAGAATCAAAACCCCAGACCTCACACGCCAACGCATATGCATAACGATTTTTTGGTCCTCTGAAGATCGATCGACTGGCCAATTGATTGATTGAGGATTTTAGGGAGATATAAAAAAGGAAGCAAGAGAGAGAGAAGAGAACGAGAAGTGCGAGTACGCGGATCTCCTCCGTCAGAGACGACGACGATGCCGCCGTGCTATGGCCGTTTCCTGAAACTTCTGGTGACGTCTGGGTGACAGGTGACCGGTTCGCGCGTTCTTCAACGGTCGTTGCGTAAGCAGGAGTGCGTAGGGACGCAGGACAAGTATCGACTAGGTAACCCACCATGGCCTTTTAAAAATATGTTAGTTGAGATGGTGGAAATTTAATGTTCTGTTTTTTTTTTTACCTCTATTTACACTCTCATCCCCTCTAAATTTTCAAATCTACACTAATTTATTTACTTTAATACAAATAATTTAGCAGCCACCCTGTGCGATCCTGGATTTGCACTCTCTCCATCCATCTCATCTCACCTCATTCTCCATTTTTTCTTTTTTTTTTTTTGTGGTTTTTGCTAAACCTCACGCCACTCTTATATGCAGAAAAAACACCCGTTAGTTTATTAAATTTTAAGGAGTATAAATAGAAAACTACGCATGAATTAGAAAAAATTTTACGAGAATAGGGTCAGTGTGGTGTCTTTAAAAATGTCTTAAGTGTTAAGTGTCATCAATAGGAGGAAATCTTAGTTTTGTAATTTAAAAGCCAAAAACCTAGGTTAAGAAAATGAGGAGGGAAACATCCTAATTCCTTCTAATTTGATTATTATAATAAATTAAACAAACATCTCATTACTATTTCCTCAGATTTCTATAAGACATAGTTGTGGCTATGTGGTGGTTATTGTATAAGAAGCGTCTGACAGGTTGAATTCAAATTTTTGACAGACTTTACAAAAAAAAGGCCACCTTGTCGGGTTCATAAAGCGGGCCAATTGGCCGTGGAAGCATGGTGGTATATTATGATCATAAATATCTCCATGGGTTAGTTATGAGTTATAGGTGGGGAGTTAAATGGGTTCATACACATCACTGTTGAAGGGACTTGAGAGGAGGGCATAAAGAATGGTGGAGGAAAGGAGAGAGAGTCTGCCTCCTCGAGGCTTAGAGCCTAAGGGTTTACATCTATTCAACTCTCTTGTTCTTTCTTGTGAGAATATAAGGGAATTTATAGAGTAAGGCCACAAATGTCTCGCCTAGGCCCACGTGATGCAAACCAATTATAGGCACGTGTCCCGCGGGACCCTTACCTCAGGACCTCACCATGGCAACCTTGCCTTGGTACCCTGCTTGGGCCTGTACGTACAAGGTATGTTTCACAATCCCATTTAATTTGACACATATATACCAATTTCTTTTTTTTCATTCTCTCCTCAGATGATACCGTTTAGCTGGGAAAGTATATCCACAAATCCCAACTAGAGTGGGACCCATATGGTGAACCGAGCACGAGTTGGGCATGACGATACAATGGGTCCTACATGACATCTTTCCTAAGCTAAAACTCTCTTGGCCCACCAAACCATAACCTCCTTAGAGTCCCCCAGGGTGACCTATCGACGTGGTCATGTATGATGCAGTGTTACAATATTTACTAATTACATTTGTCGCCTGTTTGATAGAAGCATTTATGCCAACCGCTTCTATCAGACACAATACAAATTGTTGGATAATTTTCAATCTACTCGAACCAGTCCCAGACAAATAATGGTCTTTTGAGATACTTCTGCCTTAAAAGTGAAGTGTGAAGAATCTTCATCAATGAAGCTCCATAGTTGGGACGGTGGCAATAGTCAAGCGATCACGCCTCTCGAAATGCCAAGTGTTCTGGACGAGAGAGCCTGTTATATGTAAGATAGTGCTCCGAGCAAACCGGCGACTGAGTCCATTCCTGCTACACTAGGCATATGGATATATAAACGGGTCTATCCCCATAGCGATGCAATAACTGTTAATAGGCAAGATAGTTATCGAGAATGTGTTCCCTCTCACATAGTGATAAGCACATAAATAAAGTAACCTCCACAATAGAAGTATAGAGTCACCATCGTGCATGTGTACGAATCAAAGTTTGTGGATATAGGGTGACCTTTGCGTATATTACACCTTTTGAGGTTAACCATGGATGAATTGAAATATGTATCCACATTATATAATATGCCTACATATTATCACCCTAGAAAAATGCCAATTTAAGATTCAAGAAAATTCAACTCCCTAAATAAGGTAGCAAAGTCTATATTGCCTCAAGTTTGAGATGAGCGCATATAAGTAATGCCAGCCAGAATCCATAGAAAATAATGGACGCTTATTGAGAAATACCAATATGAGGATGACTAAGAAATTCCAATTGTTGATCCAGACCATTGGTTCTGTGTAAGAACCTCTCCAGAACTCAGTTAGGTCCAACCCAATAGATAGTGAGTCATATACAGGGAGGCCTGTTCCAACAGACTAGAAGCCTTGAATCTCGGGCTAAGACTGAAAATCATGCTCATTTTATATGTTGATCCAAACCATCGACCCTTTTATCGGAGTCTCCTAGGATCCCAGTCAAATCCGACCCAATGGGTAGTGAGCCATACATTGGGCGGCTTGCTCCAGCAGACTAAGCCTTCAAAGCCTTGTACCTCAGGCCAAGACTGACAATCATACTCTTTTCGTGCTGCTCTATATTATGGCCGGTTGAGCAACAATGTACCATTTTACCTTTGAGGGTATCCGATTACCATTTACCATTTCCGTGGCGGGGAAGGCAGACTAGCTAGGTTGCACCAAGATTGCCCCCAGATACTCACGGTGCTAGTCTTGCCCTTTTAGACCAAATCCAGTTATCATTTCCACGACAATATGCTCGTGGTGCCAGTCTTGCCCTTTTGGACAAGGATTCATTTACCATTTCCACGACAATATGCTCATGGTGTCACTCTCATCTTTTGGATGAGGCTCCATTTATACTTTTGTGGTGAAGAACGAACTATGTGTCATCGTGTTCTCCTCAATGCTCGCAATGCCATTCTCACCTTGTAGACAAGGCTCCAATAATGCAAGAAAATACTGAATTTTCCACATTAGGTTTAAGGGTGTCCATGGGTCGGGTCGGGCTAGGCCCATAAATTTTTTTTCTAGCCAGGCCTGGGTAGTGTAGGCACAAGTTCTTACCTAAGTGAGTTATCAGGCAGGCTGGGCCAGGCTTCGGGTAGGGGTAGGCTACTTGCAGCCTAATCTGCAAGCCTATTGGGTGGCCCTATGGGCAAGCTTGCTGGGCGGGCCTCCTCGCGAACTTTTTTATATACAACTTCATTTTAAAATAATGAATATTTTAGTAACTTAATATTTGTGTAAATTATATTTTTGAATAAAAAATAGAGTCAAAATGGATAAAAATAAAATAATGAATAATTTTATTTTTAATTAGGAGATGAACTACATTCAATAGAATGAGTATATCCCAATTAGGTTGACACCTACTGACTTATCTATCATTTGTATTACTCTACCCTTTAAAACTTGTATGCTTAATACATAAAAAATAAAATTATACATTATTTATAGTATCTAAATTTTTAAAACTTCAAATTCCGACATTGGGAGACTTATTTCAAAGTTTCAAATTTAATAGTCTAAAAGTATAACTTTTTTACAAAGGAATGGTGGGTGGGCTATGTGGGTAGGTTGGGCTTGGCAGGCAGGCTTGAAGGGCCAGGCTTCGGGCCGGGTAATGGGATTTGGGGGTAAACCCAAGCCCTCTTTTTAAGTATATTGGGCTCGGGCTCGGACGGGCCTATCGAATTTTGGGTCGGGTAATGGGGCCCATGGGTAACCCGACCCATGGACACCCCTAATTAGGCTACCTCTTTGAATCCAGTAGTATCATGTGCAAGTCGACAAGATATTATGAGCCCTTATATTTGTCCCCTACGCGCATTTGGTTATGATGGAGAACTCATGCGTCCATCATTTTTGACATTTCCTTGATATGATATTTAAGAATACCATTTCTGAAGTAGGATGGCAGAGCCTATTTTAGTTGGTTGTAGAATTATTTAGCTAAACCGTGGCCATTATCTGGCAAGGGACTCATTTCGCAAGATATATAGATGGTCCGAGGAAGTACCATAGCATTTTTTAATAAGGCCATCTCAAGTCCGATACTGCCATTTGATGACTAGGACCAGATGGAAATATGCATCAATTTGATGCAGTAACCACAAATATAGCTTTGGGAAATACTCTGCGGAAACTCTCAGCTAGAGATAAGGCCCCTAGAAATATGGCAAGAAATGAGATGTGCATAGCTATCGCACTTGAGAGATGAATTAACTGGGGTACATGATTACCCAGTAGCAAAGTTGTCACCCTTATGCTGAAACCCCACTAGAGATTATGCTCCACGAAAATATTCGAGTTGATGTGGAGACTTTTTTTAGTTTGATATGTGTAGTCATACTGTTGCTCGAGGAAGCCTTCATAACTGTCACAAAGAGGCAACGTTCTATCGCGAAGTGGTTAAAATAATCCCCTGCCTCGACTCTCAAATTTATGCAATGTCATGATGTAGTAGTGTTGAGAATAATAACAATTGGGTGCCCCTAAGTAGTAGAGTTCCTTTGTGAAATAGGCAAGTGTAATTGGATGCATTTGCTGCTCATGCGCCTGTGGCTGTGACCCATTATAAGTTCAATACATTGCTCTATGTTAGCACTCCAGGATATACGTTCACCATGTCAGTTGTGGCTTCACTGCCAATGCATGAACTAGAAATCACACTATGTCTGACACTTTAATAGATTTTCAAAACATTAGTTTTTCATCACACTATAATGTTGGAGCTACGAATATAGTATAAAAGAGAATGGCTTATTTGAAACCATCCTGATACGATGGCAAGGGGTTGCCACGAATAGTGGAGATCATTTGGACCCTTTTATTATGCCTTCAATCTTCGAGGAAATTGTATTAGAAATCAACTTTCATTGGGTGACGGAAGGCAACACCTCTGTCAAGCTTTTGTCAAGATCGTGGGTTTACCTCACAGTGACCACTGGTGGGTCTCGCGGCCAAAGAAGCTCTCATTTCTTGCAAGTGTATTAACTGGCTCCATATTGATGCATCTAAATATAAACATGCAGCATGTTAGTTGCACAACATATGGCCTTGGCCTTTTAGTTTTATTCACCAAGTATCCCGTGGATAATGGCAAGATAGGCCAATCAATTAAAGGGAGGCAAGCTAGTGCTGCTCATGTCACTCCCTCGAGCATTTTTT